TTGAAGATTTTTGCATCAATGTTCATCAAAGATGTTGACATGAAGCTTTCTTTTTCAGGTTTTCATGTCAAGATGGTCTGTGAGTTTAGGGAGAGTCCCTTCTCCTCAATTTTTTGGAATAGTTTCAGTAGGAACAGTACCAGCTCTTTGTATATCTGGGAGAATTCAGCTGTGAGTCCATCTGGTCCTGGACTTTTATTGATTGGTAGGCTATTTATTACTGCCTCAATTTCAGAACTCATTATTGTTCTGTTCAGGGATTCAGTTTCTTCCTTGTTCAGTCTCGATTGGGTGTATGCTTCCAGAAATGTTTCCATTTCTTCCAGATTTTCTAGTTTATGTGCATCGAGTTGTTCGTAATATTCTCTGATGGTTGTCTTCTCTGAGGTCAGTGGTAATATCCCCCTTATTGTTTCTGATTGTGTTTATTTGGATCTTCTCTCTTTTCTTCTTTATTAGTCTAGCTAGTGTTCTTTTTAGTTATTTTTTCCAAAAAACCAGCTCCTGGATTTGTTGATCTTCTGAATGTGTTTTCACGTCACTGTCCTGTTCAGTGCAGCTCTGATTTTGGTTATTTCTTGTTTTCTTCTAGCTTTGGGATTTGTTTGCTCTTGGTTCTCTAGTTCTTTTATTTATTTACTTATTTATTTACTTATTTTATTTATTCATTTTGAGACGGAGTCTTGCTCTGTCACCTAGGCTGGAGTGCAGTGGTGTGATCTCAGCTCACTGCAACCTCCGCCTCCCGGGTTCAAGCAATTCTCCTGCCTCAGCCTCCCAAGTAGCTGGGATGGACTATAGGCATGTGCCACCACGCCTGGCTAATTTTTTGTATTTTTAGTAGAGACGGGGTTTCACCATGTTAGCTAGGTTTGTCTCACTCTCCTGACCTGGTGATCCGCCCACCTTGACCTCCCAAAGTGCTGGGATTACAGGCGTGAGCCACCGCGCCCAGCCTTATTCTCTAGTTCTTTTAGTTGTGATGTTACATTGTTAACTTGAGATCTTCCTAACTTTTTGATGGAGGCTTTAGTGCCAGAATGTAGTGAGATCAGATGTATTAAGTAAGGCCAGGCATGGTGGCTGATTCCTGTAATCCCTACACTTTTGGAGGCCAACACGGGAGAATTACTTGAGCCCAGGAGTTTGAGACCAGACTGGGAAACATGTGGAAAACTCGTCTGTACTGAAAATACAAAAATTAGCCAGGTGTGCTGGCACACACCTGTGATTTCAGCAACTTGGGAGGCTGAGGTGGGAAGATCATCTAAGTCTGGGGAGGTTGAGGCTGCAGTAAGCCATGATGGTACCACTGCACTCCAGCCTGGGTGACAGAGTGAGACCCCGTCAAAAACAAACAAGCAAGCAACAGATATTTTATGCCCTTCTCTGGGTAGGAAGCAAAATGAACAGAAGTCAGCATTTTAAAATTAAAATTTTATTTTTAAATTTTAACCTACTTATTTATGTATTTTGAGATCAGGTTATGAAACTGGCTAATGTTTGTATTTTGGGTTGAGATGAGGTTTTACCATGTTGCCCAGGATGGTCTCGAACTCGTGGGATGAAGCAATCCACCTGCCTTGGCCTCCTAAAGTACTGGGATTACAGGCGTGATTCACTGCCAGGCCGCATTTTTTTTTAATCGCTTGTCTTTCTGAGAGTTTTGTGGCAGAGAGTTTGGTTTGTTTAAATTCATTCTAAATAGACATTTAGGATGTCAGCTTCTGGCCTCATGGACTCTGAGGTTACAAGTCCCCTGGTCTATCACAGGACCATACACATAAGAAATTAAAAAATCGACCAGGCTTGGTGGCTCACACCTGTAATCCCAACACTTTGGGAGACTGAGGCGGGTGGATCACCTGAGGTCAGGAATTTGAGACCAGCCTGGCGAACATGGTGAAACCCCATTTCTATCAACAGTAAAAAATTAGCCGGGCGAGGTGGTGCGTGCCTGTAATCCCAGCTACTCAGGAGGTTGAGGCACCAGAATCGCTTGAACCTGGAAGGCGGAGGTTGCAGTGAGCCAAGATTGCCCCACTGCACTCTAGCCTGGGCGACAGAGCAAGACTCCATCTCAAAAAAGAAAAGAAAAAGAATCCATCTCAAAAAGTAAATAAATAAACAAACAAACATAACATTTATGATAAGTAATTGTGTTACAAAGAAATACAGTTATGTACCCTAATCCAAGGTCTCACAGAGAAAAGGACGCCTGTGCACAGACTGGGTCAACTGTGTCTTCTCTACTGTCCCCACCTCAAAGTTGCTTTCTCCCTTGTTGCCTAGAAAATCGTCGCCCTGACTGGGTATGATTGTTCTTCGATCAGTATATGCATATAGATGTATTTTTTCATTCTTCCCTGGCTGATTATTGCGTGGGTGGTCGTTTGGCGCCTCCTAGCGGCCGACTAGCAGTACAGGTCTTTTCCAGAGGCCGCTTGGGCTGAGGGCACTGCCTGTGGCCCACAGGGGCGGCCGCCTTTCTAGAGTTCTCTTGTCCTCTGGAGCTCCAGCGGCAGCTGCCGAGGGAAGGACAGTCCCCGCTGTGAGGTGGGCAGAGCTCGGAGTCCTGCAGCCTTCAGCTGAACAGTCCCGATGGTGCCAGAGCTCTGGCGCGTCCCTTGTGAGTCATAGCTCAGGCGTGCAGGGCTGTGGAGGGGAGGCTGTTACCGCGCTCCCGGCAGGAGCCGAGTGTGGGGCTGCCCGGTCTGGTCCCCAGCTCACCGCAGCTGCAGAGGCCCGACCCTCGGGACCCACCAGGCATGATGCAGGGGGCCGAAGACACTCCCCAGGCCTGGTCGCAGGCCCGCGTGGGTCCTGGCCGTCTGAGGCTCCGGCCGATTTTTTTCCCAAGTCCCCATGGAGAGTCAGGGACGGTCCTGTGCCATCTTCCGAGGGCCGGCAAAGCTCCGCCGGTGGGCTTTCTGAGCGCCAAAGGGGCCACATGCTGTTCCGAGGGTGCCGCAGGTTCAGGGGGCGCCCCTGCTTGGTCTCCACCCCCTCTAGTTTCCTCCTCTTCCCACCCTGCGGGTGGCTCATCACCCTGACTGGAACGGGGCTGTGGGAGAGTGGTGGGCTCAGGCGCTGGCGTCAGAGGGTGTGGCCCGACAACCCCAGTCTCACGGGTAGCTGCGTGGTCAGTGGGTGGTGGTCCAGGTCCTGGGCCTCTCCTACTCCGCGGCGAGGAGGAGGGGCCGGTCGCCCCAGTCTTTCTGCCTCCCGAGTGGACCAGCAGACAGTGTGGGAGAGCACTGGTAAGGAAGGTTGGCGGAGTTAGACTCCAGACGGACGGCTTCAGGCCCCGCGCGCCACATTCAGCCACATTTGGTGTGTAGTGTGGACCCGGTGGGCCTCTGCCCTCGCCACTGGCTGGCTTCTGTGTCCAGCCGCCGGGTCAACCAGATGTCAGCCCGAAAGTTAGGACTTGGCCGCCAACTTGAAATGTTTAAGATGAACTAGATAGCTCTCGCCCGCGGCAGTACCGCTTAGGTCCAGCAGAGGGTGCGATTACGGCTCACGCGGCCCTCCACCTGCCCGGGCTCACCCCACCCCACCCGTCATCGTCCCCCTCTCCCTCTCCCCCTCCCCCTCCCCCCTCCCCTCCCTTTTGGATGGTTTTTTCGCTCTTGTTGCCCAGGCTGGAGCGCAATGGTGCAATCTTGGCTCACTGCAACCTCCGCCTCCCTTGTTCAAGTGATTCTCCTGCCTCAGCCTCCCGAATACCTGGGATTACAAGCGAGCACCACTACACCCAGCTAATTTTGTATTTGTAGTAGAGACAGGTTTCTCCATGTTGGTCAGGCTGGTCTCAAACTCCCAACCTCAGGTGATCCGCCCACCTCGGCCTCCCATTGCAGCTCTGGGATTACAGCTCCCAGCAGCATCTGCCAGCTGCTGGGATTACAGCTGCCAGCCACCATGCCTGGCCCCATCCTCCCATTTCTGCCTCCAGAGTAGCTGAGGCTCTGGGGATCTTTCTGGTTTTTTTTTTTTTTTTTCCTAGGCCCACTTTGAGTTTGTTTCCACAGTACATTGAGTTACTATTGTTTTGTTTTGTTTTGTTTTCTCTCTCTTATGTGCCTTCCTGCACACTGAAGTTGCTGTTTTAAATTTCTTTCTACTTTAGTGTGTGTGTGTGCGTGCGTGTGTGTATGTGTTCATATATATATATTTTTAAATGAGGTCCTCTCAGTCACCCAGGCTGAAGTGCAGGTGTGTGATCACAGCTCACTGCAGCCTGGATCTCCCTGGGCTCAGGGGATCCTCCCATCTCAGCTCCCTGGGTAGCTGGTACTACAGTCACGCACCACCACGGTGGCTCTTTGTTTTGCGTTTTTTGCTTTTTATTTTTATAGAGATGAGGTTCTGCCATGTTTCTCAGGCTGGTCTCGAACTCCTGTGCTCAAACAATCCACCAGCCTTGACCTCCCAAAGTGCTTGGATTACAGGCATGAGCCATCCTGCCTGACTGGCTATCTATCTATCTATCATCTATCTCTGTGTGTCCGGCTCTGTCTGTCTATCTGGCTGGCTCTTATCTATCTATCTATCTATCATCTTTTTTTTTTTTTTTTTTTTTGAGACAGAGTCTCACACTGTCACCCAGGCTGGAGTGCAGTAGCCTGATCTCAGCTTACTGCAACCTCTGCCTCCTAGGTTCAAGCGATTCTCCTGCCTCAGCCTCCCGAGTAGCTGGGACTACAGGAGCGCACCACCACACCCAGCTAATTTTTGTGTTTTTAGTAGAGACGGGGTTTCACAATGTTGGCCAGGATGGACTCGATCTCTTGACCTCGTGATCTGCCTGCCTCGGCCTCCCAAAGTACTGGGATTACAGGCATGAGTCACTGGCACCCAGCCTCTATCATCTTTTTAGTAGAGATGTGATCTTGCTATGTTGTCCATGCTCTGGATATGTATTTCTTTTTTAACTTTAATTATTATTTTCTAATAGAGGTGTTGTCTCACCATGTTGTCCCTGGATAGTCGTGAACTCCTGGGTTCCAGGTATCCTCCATGGCCTCCCAAAGTGCTGAGATTACAGGTGTGAGCCAGCATGCACGGTCTGGTCATGTTTTTGATGTGTTGATTCTTTCCAGTCCGGATGCGTAATCTCATGTCTGAACATTCCTGCTGGTGTGATTATGTTATATGACTTAGCCCAGCACCAGAGTGATTTGGTGCTCCTGCCTTGGCCCAGCCCATGGAAGGGACTGTGACATATAACTGGACCCAGTACCGAGGTGATGTGACTATTCTACTGCCTTGGCACTGCCCACAGGGGACATTGTGGCATCACTGCATCTTGTACCCAGGTGGTGTGAATCTTGTCTCCTGCCTTGGCTCTTCCACAGGGGACATTGTGTCATATCGCTGGGCCCCACACATAGGTTATGTGACCCTCCTGCCTGTGCCCTGCCTGTGTGGGCCACTGTGACTTTTGCGGGGTCCAACACCCAGGTGATGTAAGTCTACTGCTGAGGTCCTGCCTACAGAAGATATTGTGGCATATTCCTGCACCATCACTCAGGTAATGCAGCTCTCTTCTCCTGCCTGGCCCCTGCTAATAGAAGGGATTGTGATGTATTACTGGCTCAGCACCTAGCTCACATGACTCTCCCCTCTTTCTTTCTAGGTTCTGCCCACAGAGGATATTGTGACATGTCACTGGGCCTAATACTACAGTGACATACTCTTCTGCCTTGAGACTGCCCTTAGAAGGCATGGTGGTGTATTGCTGGGCCCAGAACCAATGTGGTGTGAGTCTCCTGCCTGGACCCTGCCTACAAGGTGCATTGTGACATATCTCTGGGCCCTTTATTTTATGTGACTCTCCTCTCTTACCTGGATGTTGCGCAAAAAGAGATTGTGACATAAATCTGGGCCCAGCACAGAAGTGATGTGACTCTCCTCTCCTGCCTGTTCCTTGCCCACCAAAGAGTGAATGACTTATTGCTGAGTTTAGCACACAGGTGATGGGGATTCTTCTGCCTGCTCACAGAAGTCATTGTGACATATGTCTGGGCCTATCACTGAGATTATGTGACTCTCTTCTTCGTGGAACCTGTCCACAGTGGGGAGTGTCACATGTTGCTTGGCCCAGGACCTACATGATGTGACTCTCTTCTTAGGCCTGGGCCCTGCCCCCTGGAGTGATTTTGACATGTAGCTGGGCCCAGCCCCAAGGTTATATGACTCCACACTTCTTCCTGAGCCCTACCCACAGGGGCATTGTGTCATATCTCCGAGGCTTCAATGACGTGATGTGACTCTTTTGTTTAGACCCTGTTCTCAGGATATTGTGACATTGCTGAGCCCAGCATCTAGGTGATGCGACTCTTCTCTACTGTTTGGTCTCTACCCAAAAAGGGATTGTGACATATCACTCTGTCAAGAACCTAAATGAGGTGACTCTCCTCTCCAGCCTGAGACTTCCATACAGTGTGTATTGAGACATATCACTGGGTCCAATACCTAGATAATGCAACTCTCCTTCATGGGCCTTGCCCATAGGCGTATTACAAGCTATGTTTCTATTAATCACCTAGGTGATGTGACACTCCTCTCCTGCATGGGCCCTGCCAAAAAAGTATTGTTACATATAGCCGGGCCCAGCCCCCAGGTCATGTGATTCTTCTTCTTTTTTTTTTTCCTGAGCCCTACCCACAGAGAAAATTTTGACATATTCTTGGGCCCATCATTTATGTGATGTGACTCTTGCATGGACCCTCCCCGCAAGGGGTAGGGTGACATATTGCTGAACCCAGTACGTAGGTGATGTGACCCTCCTTTATGGACTGGGCTTTGCCCAAGCAGGGATTGTGATGTATTGCTGGGCCCCCCACCTCGCTGTTGTGATTCTGCTCTTCCTCCTAAGCCCTGCATACATTGTGTATTGTGACGTATACCTGGATTCAGCACCCAGGTGACACAACTTTATGTCATGAGAACTGCCCATAGAAGTAATATGACATATTTCTTTTTGTTTTTCTTTCTTTCTTTTTTTTTTTTTTTTTGAGACAGAGTTCGCTCTTGTTGCCCAGGCTGGAGTGCAATGGCATGATCTCGGCTCACTGCAACCTCCTGGGTTCAAGTGATTCTCCTGCCTCAGCCTCCCGAGTAGCTAGGATTACAGCCATGTGCCACCATGACCGGCTAATTTTATATTTTTATTTAGTAGAGACGGGATTTCTCCATGTTCGTCAGGCTGGTCTCAAACTCCCAGCCTTAGGTGATTCACCTGCCTTGGCCTCCGAAAGTGCTGGGATTACAGGTATGAGCCACTGTGCCTGGCCGACATATCTCTTTTTCATCACCTAGATGATGTGACTATTTTATTTTCCATGTCCCTGGCATATTTTGGGTATAGTGACATATCATTGAGTTTACACTCATTAGATGGGATTATCTAGGAGATTTAACTCCCCTCTTCTATCTGCACCCTGACCACTAGGAGGATTGTGACGAATCACTAGTCTCAGCAATCAGGGGATTTGTTTTTTTTGCCTGGTCCTCACCCACAGAGAACATTGTAACATATCCCTGGTCTCAGCACTCAGGTGATGTGACTCTTCTGACTGTATTCTGCTTTCAGGAGGGGATTGTAGCATATTCCTAATTGAGCACCAAGGTGATGTGACACTGCTGCCTGGTCCCTGCCCTCAGAGAAGATTGTGACATATCACTGCCCCACAACCCAGGTGATGTGAGTCTACTGGTCCATCCCTATTCACTGGTGGGATTGTGATGCCTATCTTGGCCCAGCTTACAGGTGCAATGATCACTTTCTTTTTTTGAGACGGAGTTTCGCTGTTGTTGCCCAGGCTGGAGTGCAATGGCACGATCTTGGCTCACCACAACCTCCGCCTCCCGGGTTCAAGCGATTCCTCTGTCTCAGCCTCCTGAGTAGCTGGGATTATAGGCATGCGCCACCACGCCTGGCCAATTTTGTATTTTCAGTCCAGACGGGGTTTCTTCATGTTGGGCAGGCTGATCTCGAACTCCCGACCTCAGGTAATCCACCCACCTCGGCCTCTCAAAATGCAGGGATTACAGACGTGAGTCACCATGCCCGGCCTCTATGATCACTTTCATACCTTAAAACAACCAATAGCAGATACACTGTGTCTCATAGCCAGAGTCAGGAAAATGAGTAGTATCTTGGGTCTTCTCTTTGTATGAAAGTCACAGAGAATCACCACTCTCTCACACACTGTGTAAAGTTGTCAAAAGGTACAGCGGATGTCCTAACAGAACTCAGCACACAGGTGAGGTTGTGACACTCATATGTATGACCTGCCGACAGTAAATATTTCATCCTTCCACATAAACACAGCTCACAATCGAGGTTCTGAATGTCACACCCAGAGGCAGTCAAATGTTGGAAAATGGAATCTCATATGTGAATTTGGTCCATGTGGGGGTTGGCATCTTTCAGACCAAGATTCGGCACACCTGTGAGTCTGTGACTCCATTAAGGGGACACAGTTTTGCAGGAGGGATTGAGGCTCTCATACATGGATCCAGACCATCATTGAGATTGTGACTCATTTACTTAGACTCAACATACAGGAAGTGTTAGATCTCATACCTAGAACTAGAAAATGTGTGGAACTATTAATCTCACGCTTTGACCTTCATGCAGGTGTGATTGTGACATACACCTCTGCCCAGCACCTCAGTGATTTGACTCTTCTGCCTGGGTCCAGCGTACAGATAGGATTGTGCCATATTGCTGGACCCAGCACTTAGGTGATGTGAGTCTGTTCTCTTGCCTTAGTGTTTTTCACAGAGGGCATTGAGACATCACTGGGCCTAGTGCCCAGGTGATGTGACTTTCCTCTACTTCCTGGGCTGTTCTCAAGAAGTTGCAATATATTGCTGCGACCAGAACCTAGGTAATGTGACTCTTCTCTCCTGCCTGGTTCCTCTTGCACATAATGTGACATGTGGCTGGTCCTGACACCTTGGCGATGTGAATCTCCTGTGTGGGCCCTGCCCACAGAGGTATTACAACATATATTTTCACTCATCATCTAGGTGATATAATTCTCTTCTGCCTGGCCCTGCCAAAAAGTGGAAGATTGGGCAAATCACTGAACTCAGCACCTAGGTGATGTGACTGTCTTGTTTGGCCTGGGCCTCTCATGTTTTGGGTATTGTAAAATATCACTAAGCCCACCGCCGATGGGATTGCTTGCTCCTATCTTGACTCTGCCCATAGGTACCTTGTGACATGTATCTGCATCCATGACCTAGAAGATGTGACATTTATTTTTTGCCTGCACCCTGCCCTGCACAAGAATGATTGTGACATATCCTTGAAATGAGACACCAGGTGATGTGGCTCTTCTGCTTCTGTCTTGCCCACAGGGAGCATTGTGACATAGTGCTGAGCTCAGCACCCAGGTGATGTGACTGTTCCTTGTGCTGTGCTTTCAGGACAGAATTGTAACATATCCCTGGCTGAGCACCCAGGTGAGGTGACACTCCTGCTTGGCTTCCTTCCTCAGAGAAGAGTGTGAGATCCTTGGCTGAAATCCAGGTGATGTGACTCCCCTGCTAGCTCCCTTCCTATAAGTACAATTGAGACATGCTGTGGTCAGCTTACAAGTGTGATGATGACTCTCATGTCAGCTTGCAAGTGTGATGATGACTCTCATGCCTCAAGTCAGCTGTTAGAAGAAATACTGGCCAGGCACAGTGGGGACTATAATCCCATCACTTTCAGAGGCTGAGGCAGGCGGATCACCTGGGGTCAGGAGTTTGAGGCCAGCCTGACCAACATGGAGAAACACCGTCTCTACTAAAAATACAAAAAAAATTAGCCAGGCGTGGTGGCGCATGCCTGTAATTCCAGCTACTCGGGAGGCTGAGGCAGGAGAATCGCTTGAACTCGGGAGGTGGAGGTTGAGGTGAGTAGAGATCACACCATTGCACTCCAGCCTGGGCAACAAGAGCGAAACTCTATCTCAAAAAAAAAAAGAAGAAATACTGTCTTTCATAGCTCGGAAAAATGAGTGACATCCTGGATCTTCTCTGTATGAAGGTTATGAAAGATTGCCACACCCTCACATGTGGCATAATGCCCTCAAGTGTTAGAGTGTGTCATTACAGGGCACAGCACTCAGGCGAGATTGTTTCTCACGTGCACACCTCACCAACCATTAGTATTATCACCCTCACACATGGAAAGAGCCTGCTGCTGAGGTCTTGAATCTCACATGCAAACAGTCCACAGTTGGAATTGTGGCTGTCATATGTGAGCATCCAGCCACAGTTGGGATGGTGACACATTTCTAAACTCAAATCACAGGCAGATGAGGACTCTACTATTTGGACCCAGCCAACTGGAGAAATGTTGACTCTCACACCTGGGCCTAGGGCCACAGGTATGGTCATGGGTGCATATAAACATGAAGGGGTCAGTGAATTGTGACCCGCATTCATACTACATAAAGCCCTTGGGTAGTATAGAAAGTGTATTAACAAGGCCCAGCACACAGGGGAGATTGCGACAGTTGTATGCACACAGACCCAACAGTATATACATCATCATTTCCCCACATGAACACAGCCCACTTTTGGGGTTCTGAATCTCGCAACTATAGGCATTCAAAGACTGGAAACTTTACTCTCATGTGGATTCAGTCCACAGGTGGGTTGGTGACATTCAGAGCGAGATTCAGCACACCTCTGGGGCTGTGACTTTACTGTTAAACGTGGCGTGCCGGAGCAGTTGCTCTCTTGCACAAATTCAGTCCACCATTGAGATTGTAACCCCTGTTCTTAGACACAACATATAGGAGGTTAACACCGGGACATGTGCGGGATTGTTAATGTCATCCCTGGACCTTCCTGCAGATTTAATTGTGACATTTTTCACTTTTTTTTTGAGACGGAGTTTCACTCTTATCACCCAGTCTGGAGTGCAGTGGCACAATCTCAGCTCACTGCAACCTCCGCCTTCCGGGTTCAAGCGATTCTTCTGCCTCAGCCTCCTGAGCAGCAGGGATTACAGGCATGCACCACCACGCAAGACTAATTTTGTATTTTTAGTAGAGACAGGATTTTTCCATGTTGGTCAGGCTGGTCTTGAACCCCTGACCTCACGTGATCCACCCACCTCTGCCTCCCGAAGTGCTGGGATTACAGGCATGAGCCACTGTGCCCAGCCCAATTGTGACATTTTTCTATGCTGGGCACCTGAGTGATCTGACTGTCTTGCCTAGGACCAGCCCACAGGGGGGATAGTGATATATTGCTGAATCCAGAACTGAGGGGATGTGACTCTCTTCTTCTGTATTGGTGCTGCTCCCAGAGGACACTGTGACATCTCACTGGACCTTGCACTTGGTTGATGTGAGTCTCCTCTAAGGGGGCATGGTGACATATCTCTGGGCCTACATCCAGGTTATATGACTCTCATGCCTGTGCCCTCACCACATTGTGACATATTGCTGGGTCCAACGCCCTGGTAATGTAACTCTACTGCGTAGGTTCTGCCAACACGGAACATTGTGGATATTTTTTTCACCCATTACCCAGGTGATGTGACTCTCTTCTTTTGCCTCGTTCTGCTCACAGGCAGAATTGTGACATATCACTTGGCCCAGTACCAAGCAAGTGTGACTCTTCTATTCATCATAAGTTCTGCTTTCAAGGGAGATTGGGACATATTGTGGGCCTCAATACTGATGTGACATTACTGTTTTGCCTTGGCCCAGACCTTAAAGGCACTGTGACATATTGCTCGGCCCACCAACAAGGTGACGAGTGGTTCTGTGTGGACACTGACAACAGAGCATTGTGACATATCTTTGGGAGCGTCAACTATTTGATGTGACTTTTTTTTTTTTGAGACGGAGTCTCGCTGTGTCACCCAGGCTGGAGTGTAGTGGCACGATCTCGGCTCACTGCAAGCTCCGCCTGCCGGGTTCACGCCATTCTCCTGCCTCAGCCTCCCGAGTAGCTGGGACTACAGGCGCCCGCCACCACACCTGGCTAATTTTTTGTATTTTTAGTAGAGATGGGGTTTCACCATGGTAACCAGGATGGTCTCATCACCCGACCTCGTGATCCGCCCATCTCGGCCTCCCAAAGTGCTGGGATTACAGGCGTGAGCCACTGCGCCCGGCTGACTCTCCTTTTATACCAAGGCTTTACTCATAGGGGAGATCGTGGTGTATCTTTTGGCCCAGAAATCAGGTGATGTGTTTCTCCTGCCTGAACTTTGCTCACAGGGAGCATTGTGACATATCACTAGGCCCAGCACCCAGGTGATGGGACTCTACTGCCTGTCCCCTGCTTTCAGGAGGAAATTGTAACATATCTCTGACCAAGCACCCAGGTCATATCTCTGACCCAAGCACTCTTCTGCCTGGTCCCTGTTCTCAGGGAAGATTGTGACATAGCCCTGGCCCAGCACCCAGATGATGCAGATGATGTAATACTCCTGCTCACTCTCTATCCACAGGTAAGACTATGACATATGATCACGCCCAGCTAATTTTTGCCTTTTAATAGAGATGGGGTTTCACCGTGTTGGCCAGGCTGGTCTCGAACTCAGGTGATCTGCCCACCTTGGCCTCCAAAGTGCTCAGATTATAGGTGTGAGCCATGGTCCGCTGGCCTAGGGAATGTAACTTTCTTTTGCTGCCTGTTCTCTACTCACAGGGGTAATTGTGACATATTGCTGGTCCCAGCTCCTAGCTGATGTGACTCTTCTTTTTTCTAGGTTCTGCGCACAAAGGAGATTGTGACATACTGCTGTGCCTAACACTAAGGTGATGTGACTTCTCTTCTTTGGCTATGTCCTTAGAAGGCATTGAGATACACTACTGAACCAGCACCAAGATGCTGTGAGTCCTCTGCCTGAACCCTGACCACAGGGAGCATTGTGACATATTTCTTGACCCATTGCAATGGACAAAGCTCAGGTAAATGCCCTATTTTACCTACGTGATGTGACATTCCTCTTCTGCCTGAGCCAAGCACACCAGTGATGTAATTATTCTGCCTGTTCCCTGCACACAGGAGTCACTGTGATATATGTTTGGGCCCATCAGCTAGATGATGTGAATCTCCTCTTCCAGAGTTAGTCCTCAGTGAGAATTGTGATATATCGCTTGATGTAGCTCGTATGTGATGTGGCTGTTCTCTCATGCCTGGTCCCTTCCCACTGGGGTGACTGGATCATAAAGCTGAGCCCCACACCTACGTGATGTGACTTTCTTGTTTGTAATCCCTACCCACAGGGGGCATTGTGACATATCTAGGCCTCTCACCTAGCTAATATGACATTTTTACCGAGGCCCTCCCCTCAGGGGGTATTGTGAAATATTACTGGACCAAGAACTTAGGTGATGTGGCTCTCTCTACTGCTTGGGGTGTGCTTAAGAAGAAATTGTAGGCCGGGCTTGGTGGCTCATGCCTGTAATCCCAGCGCTTTGGGAGGCCGCGGCGGGGGGATCACCTGAGGTCAGGAGTTCGAGACCAGCCTCAACATGGCAAAACCCCGTCTCTACTAAAAAGTACAAAATTAGCCAGGCGTGGTGGTTCATGCCTGTAATCCCAGCTACTCGGGAGGCTGAGGCAGGAGAATCGCTTGAATCTGGGAGGCGGAGGTTGCAGTGAGCCAAGATTGCTCCATTGCACTCCAGCCTGGGCAACAAGAGCGAAACTCCGTCCCAAAAAAAAAAAAAGAAATTGTAATGTATCTCTGTATCCAGCACCAAGGTGATGTTACTCTCCTCTCCTGCCTGGTACTCATATACATTTTGTATTACAACATATCTCTGAATCCAACATTGAGGCGATGCGACTGTCCTGCATGGGCTCTCCCACAAAAATAACACATTTTTTTACTCATTATCTAGGTGATATAACTCTTCTGCTTGAGCCCTGCCAAAAGAAAAGATTGCCACAGATCACTGGACCCAGCACATAGGTGATATGACTCTTTATTTGCCTGAAACCTTCATATTTTAGATATAGTGACATATCACCAGAACAGATACCTAAAGGTTAGATGGCTCCTTCCTGAGCCCTTCCCACAGGGGTCCTTGTGATGTGTTTCTGTATCCATCATCCAGGATTTGAAACCCTCTACTTCTGCCAGCATTTTGCCCACAGGAAATATTATGACATGTTGCTGGGCCCGGCAACCAGGTGATCTTACTCTTCTGCCTGTGCCCTGCTTTCAGGAGGGGATTGTAAAATTTCTGGGTCAAGCACCCAGTAACATGACTCTCCTGCCTGGTGCCTGTTCTCAGGGAAGATTGTGACCTGTTTCCCAGCACACAGCTGAAGTGAATTTTTTTTTTTTTTTTTTAGATGGAGTCTCACTCTATCACTCAGGCTGCAGTGTAGTGGCATGATCTCGGCTTACTGCAACCCCTGCTTCCCGGGTTCAAGTGATTCTCCTGCCTTAGCCACCCGAATATTTGGGACTACAGGTGCCCACCATCATGCTCAGCTAATTTTTGAATTTTTAGTAAAGACAGGGTTTCACCATGTTGGCCAGGCTGGTCTCGAACTCCTGACCTCAGGTGATCCATTTGCCTTGGCCTCCCAAAGCCCTGGGATTACAGGCATGAGCCACTGCACCTGGCTGACATGAGCTTTTCTCTAGGAGACATTGAAACATGTCTGGGCCAAGCATCTGGTGATGTTACTCTTCTCTCCTGCCTGGGCCCTGGCCACAGAAGGGAGAGTGACTTATCCCTAGGCCCAGCATGCAGGTGACATAATTTTTCTGCCTAATCTCTTTCCACAGGGGACATTGTGACATGTCCCTGGGACCATAAACTAGATGACATGACTCTTTTTGTCTCTGAGACCTGTCCACAGGTCTTTTTTTTTTAGGTGGAGTCTCTCTGTTGCCCAGGCTTTTTTTTTTTTTTTTTAGATGGAGTCTCACTCTGTTGCCCAGGCCGGAGTAAAGTGGCGTGATCTCGGCTCACTGCAAACTCTGCCTCCCAGGTTCAAGTGATTCTCCTGCCTCAGCCTCGTGAATAGCTGAGATTACAAGCATGTACCACCGTGCCTGGCTAAATGTTTTTTTTTTTTTTTTCATTTTTAGTAAAGACGAGGTTTCACCATGTCGGCTAGACTGTTCTTGAACTCCTAATCTCAAGTTATCTGCCTACCTTGGCCTCCCAAAATGCTGGCAATACAGGCATCAGCCACCATGCCCCGCCTGTGCCATATTTTTTGACCTAGCAACAAGGTTATGTGACTCTCCTCTACTGCTTGGACCCTGTGTACATTCTGTATATTGAAGTATGGCTAGGTCCGACACCTAGGTGATTTGACTCTCCTCTCCACGCGGCCTTCTAATAGGGGAATTCTGACATATCTCTTTGTCACCTGAGTGATATGACTCTCCTTTTCTACCTGAACCCTGTAAAAAGAGGGGATTGTGGCATATCACTGGACCCAGCAACTAGGTGATACTACTTTCTCTTTTTACCTGGGCCTATTGTATTTTGGGTATTTTGACATATTGCCGGGTCAAACCAAATGGGTGAAAGGCTCTTGCCTGGGCCCTGCCCACAGGAGGCCTTTGTTACATATCTGTGCATCCATTACTTTGGAGGAGTGACGTTCTTCCATCTGCACCATGCCCATACAGAGCATTGTGACATGCCTCTGGGTTCAGCAACCAGATGGTATATATTTTGTGCCCAGCCTTGCCTGCAGAGAGACATAGCTGGACCCACTACTACCCAAGTGATGTGACTTTGATGTCTGTGCCTTGCTTTCAGGAGGGAATTTTAGGGTAACAGAACCCTGGCCAGGCAACCAAGCGATATGCCTGGTTTCTTCCCTGGAAAAATTGTGATATATTCCTGACCCAGCACCCAGGTGATGTTATTCTCTCATTTGCTTTCTACTCACAGGTTGAATTGTGACATATACTTTAGCCCAACTCACAGTTGTGATGATGACACTTGTACCACAAATCAGCCAGTAGGGGAGATACTGGCACTTGTAGCTAAACCTAGAGAAACAGGTAAATTATTGGGTCTTCTCTAGGTGAGAAGATCATAAAGGATAACCATTCTTTCAGAGTTTGTATAAAGTCTTTGGATGGTACAGAGAGTGTCGTCACAGGGTCAAGCACACAGGTGAGACTGTGTTTCTCATACGAACAACCTACCAAATGTTGGCATTGTCACCCTCACAGATGGACAGAGCCCGCTGGAAAGATCCTGAATTTCACACGTGGATATAGTCCACAGTAAAAATTGTGACTATCATATGTGATCATGCAACCACAGTCAAGGTGGTGACTCATTTCAAAACAAAGCTCATAGGCAGGTGAGGACTGTCCTCTCTGGACCTCGCCAATTGGAGATGTTGACTCTAACACGTGGGCTTAGGTCCATAGGTACGATTATCAGTTCATACTAGAACAGAATTCTCAGAGCAAATTGTGACTATCATGCATATTGTGTAATACCCTCAGATGGTAACAGTTTTGTAACAGGGCCCAGCACACAGGTGACATTGTGATACTCATACACACAGTCAGCCAATAGGAAAGATTGTCATCTTTTCATATGAACACAGCTCACTGTTGAAGTTCTGAATCTCACACCCAGAGAAAGCCAAAAGTTGGAAAATAGACTCTCACACATGGATTCGGTCCACATGTGGGCTGGTGACTGTCAGACCAAGATTCAGCATATCTGTGAGGCTGTGAGTCCACTAAGGGGACACAGTCCCCTGCAAAGATTGAGGCTCTCATGCAGGTATCCAGTCCACCATTGAGATTGTCACTTGTATATTCAGACTCAACATACAAAAGGTGTTGACTCTAATACCTAGAAATGGGACATGTGTGGAATTGTTAATTTTCTTTTTTTTTTTTTTTGAGACGGAATTTCAATCTTGTTGCTCAGGCTGGAGTGCAATGGCGCAATTTCAGCTCACTACAACCTCCGCCTCCTGGGTTCAAGCGATTCTCCTACCTCAGCCTCCTGAGTAGCTGGAATTACAGGTGCCCACCACAGTACCCGGCTAATTTTTTGTATTTTTAGTAGAGATGGGGTTTCACCATATTGGCCAGGCTGGTCTCAAACTCCTGACCTCATGTGATCCACCTGCCTCAGTCTCCCAAAGTGCTGGGATTACAAACATGAGCCACCGCACCCGGCAGGATTGCTAATTTTATCCCCACATTTTCCTGCAACTGTGACTGTAACATACACCTCTGCCCAGCACCTAAGAGATTTGACTTTTCTGCCTGGTACCTAGTCCACAAATCAGGTTGTGATACATTGCTGGACCCAACACTAGGTGGTGTGACTCTGTACTTTTGCCTCGGCACTGCCCACATGGGGCATTGTGACATATCACTGGGCCCCAAGCCCTGGTTACGTAACTCTCTTACCTGTAACCTGCCTTTATGGGCCATTGTGACATATTGCCATTCGCAACATCCAGGTTATGTAACTGTCCTTGCTGGGTCCTGCCTATAGGAAGCCTTATGATCTATCTGTGTATCCATCCTCCAGGTAATGTGACTCTTTCTCCCAGGTCCCTGCTCATAGAAAGGATTGTTAGTTATCACTGAGCCCAGTGCCTAGCTGATATAATTCTTCTACATGTGTTCTGCTTACAATGTACACTGTGACATACTGCTGGGCCGAACACTAAGGTGATGTTACATTTTTGCCTTGGCATTTTTTCATCAGACATTGTGACATATTGTTGGACTCAGAACCAAGGTGATGTGATTCTTCTGCCTGAACCCTGCTCAAGAGTCAACACCTTTTGCCCAACAAGAATAGTGCCATATTTGTGAATCCATCATCTATGTGATGTGACTCTCTTACTTGGATTTTGCCTATAGGAGAGATTGCGACCTATCACAGGGCGCAGCACCTAGATAATGTGACTCTTCTTTCCTGCCATGGCCATGCTCCCATAAAAGAGAGTGACTTATCCCTGGGATCAGCCCACAAGCTATGTGATTGTTCTGCCTAGTCCCTGTCTACAGGGGTTAGTGACATATCTCTTGGTCCCATTCCTCTTCTCCCTGGTACCTGTCCACAGTGGGGATTGTGACATATCACTTGGCCTGGCACCTATGTGATGTGACTCTTCTCATGCTTTGGCCCTGCCCACTGGTTGGTTGTGATATGTAGATGGGCCCAGCTCTTAGATTATGTGATCTTTCTCTTTCTTCGGAGCCCTACTCTCCCGAGACCAGCTCAGTTGTGGAGACCCTGACCCAGCGGCGCTAGAGGAATTAAAGATACCACACAGAAATATAGCGTGTGGAGTGGGAAATCAGGGGTCTCACAGCCTTCAGAGCTGAGAGCCTCAAACAGAGATTTACCCAGAGATTTATTTATTGACAGCAAGCCAGTGATAAGCATTGTTTCTATAGATTATAGATTAACTAAAAGTATTCCTTACGGGAAGCAAAGGGATGGGCCGAAATAAAGGGATGGGTCTGGCTAGTTATCTGCAGCAGGAACATGTCCTTAAGGCACAGATCCCTCATGCTATTGTTTGTAGTTTAGGAATGCCTTAAGCGGTTTTCCGCCCTGCGTGGGCCAGGTGTTCGTTGCCCTCATTCTGGTAAACCAACAACCTTCCAGCATTGGCGTCATAGCCATCACTAACATGTCACAGTGCTGCAGAGCTTTTGTGTATGGTCAGTTTTGGGGCCTTTTTATGACCAGATTTAGGGACCTGTTCTCAACACTACTCACAGGGGACACTGTGACATATCTCTGGGCCTCTCACCTAGATGATGTGACTTTTTTTGCCAGGGCTCTTTTCTCAGAGGGTACTGTGACATTTCAGGACCTATGAACCTAGGTGATATGACTCTCTTCTACTGCTTGGGCTCTGCTGAGATGTGACTTTTTTTTTTTCCTGGGCTTTGCATACATTGTATATTGTGATATATGACGGGGTCTAAGACCCAGGTAATATGACTCTAACTCCTGGGTTCTGTTCAGAAGGGTATTATGACATATCTTTTTGTTCATCACTTAGATGTTATGACTCTTGTCTTTTCACTGGAACCTGCCAAGAAGGGTGATTGTGACATACCACTGGACCCAGCACCTTGGTGGTGTGACTCTCCTCTCCTCCTTGGGCCCTGCATACATTGTGTCTATTGAAATATGGCTGGTCCAATGTAGGAACCTAGTTTTTAGATTCCTTCCTGGGCAGGGGTCGCTGCGAGAGACCACTCGACACGGAAGTCACAGCGGAGAGATTTATTGCTAGCGCGCTAGGGTCCTATGTCCGAAGTTGGCCACAGGACCCTGAATGCCTAGTACAGACAGTTTATAAAAGGCAAAAAACCACAAAAATTCACAAAGCTTGAGGCGCAAGATGATTGGAGCAGGTTATGGCC